TCTGGTCTTCACTTCTGCTAGTCTGGTCTTCACTTCTGCTAGTCTGGTCTTCACTTCTGCTAGTCTGGTCTTCACTTCTGCTAGTCTGGTCTTCATTTTCAATGGTCTGGTCTTCACTTTCGCTGGTCTGGTCTTCATTTTCAATGGTCTGGTCTTCTGTTTTCGTGTACATATAGTCACCAAAAGCACTTACACCTGGGAGGTTTACATCACGCGTTACCACAAAGAAGTCGATGACTCTATCCCGGTTTTGAAGGTCGTATTGATAAACTTCGAGACCTTGTTCTTCAATAGAATCCGATACGCTGTCAAGAGTGATGTTAAAATCTCCACCAAGTACCACTGGAAGTTTGGTTTTGGAATTTATTTCTTTTATTACCAGTAAAAGGTCCTCAAATTTTTCCTTCTTTTCCTGTTCTGAAAGGCCGGTGTATTCTCCGTGCCAAGATATCGCCACGAAGCTCGTGCCTGTTTTGGTTTCTGTGAGCTTAGAGAAGCTTGCTCGCTCTTTAAATGTCACGAAATCCAGATGAGATTTATCGTTGAAAGCGTCTTGGAATAACTCCCGCAATTTTGCAGAGCCTTTGTCTTTCAATACATCCTTACGATAAAGAACAGTAGCATCAAATTGCTCATGGGAAACAGCTTCATATCTTTCCCTAATCTTTGGAACGTGGTTCCTTATGTAGCGTTTACGCCATGGATTTTCTTGGAAATAAATAAAAGAAGGCAGATGATCGCTGAAAAACTTGTTAATCATTCTCTTTTTCTGCTTTCTTGTACCATCACCACCAATATTAAATGTAACCACGGATAAGGCCATTTTCTATGCCAGGATATTCTTAAAACCTTAAATACTAAGGGCAATTATTCTTCTTCCTTGAATTCGAAGAAAAAATAAGCCAGTGACATCCAGCTGTGTGTCAGTGTTTGTCACTTTCTTTCGATTCCCAATCGTTTTCCATGCATTGCTTGGGCTTCTTGTGGAAAAAGATTACGACTCAGCCCAATTCCGATAAAAATAATATTCGGGAAAGCGATTACTCTTTATTTAAAATATCGTATTCAAACTAAGAAAGTATATACGTATACTAATTACGATTTTAAGACGGCAATACCACAAAATATTGACGGCTAGTTGGAAGAAAATATATTCCGTATTGTGGCGGAGTCGCGTAGCGACGGATCCCAATACGAGAATATATTTTCTCCCAACGCCGTCAATATTTTGTGGTATTGCCGTCTTAAAATCGTAATTAGTTTTGTATCGCGATTCCTGTAATTTTTTTGTTTTTTTTTCTTTTCTTTTTGCATGAAAATATGCAGTTTTCTTCATGAAACAATAAATTCTCCCAACGTGAAAATTCCTGTTTCTATGACAATAATCGATCACGCAAGCACTTTTTCACTGTAGTCGTTTAGAACATTAATTTTTTTTTAATTTAAAAAACGTACCAAGAAAATTTGAAATAGATGTAAAATGTATATGTTTCCGAAATCAACTTGGACTGAGGACGACTTGGAGCTTCCAAATATTCAAATATCATCTCAAATTACTACTCCTTCCGGWTYAAAGCCTTAAAATACCCCATATCAAAGTCATCAAATGTCACAKCTCGTAACTCAGCTGCCTCTGCTTCTGTCAACTATGAATTAATGGGCGACAAAAATCGAAARTCTAGTATTGTTGTTCTTGAGRATGATGAAATTGCTGGCATATGATTCCTCTGGCAGTATTCRCAGCTCTAAGAGTTCCTCCACGGTAGTAGAAACTTGTAGTCATCTCARCGASAARAAGGACGAGCACGTGCTCCCTGCCAACCTGTTGAATAATTCAACGTTATRAAATAACTGTTATGAATGTCGCGTTCTGATTGGTTTGGAGCGCGTGCTTTATGAGAGCACATTGCACGCGCGCGCACTTTTCGTTGCGTCATTCCTATCTATTATTGTAATTTGTATTTTAAAAAAGAAATAAAAAACTTGCTTGCTGTGCTGTGTGCAGTCATAAAGCACTTGGGGATCGGCAGAACACTCGAGAAGTGTCCGCTACGCGTCGTGATTCCCCTAACATTTCTCTCGTGTTCTGCCAACCCTCGCGTGCTTTATGACTGCACACACAGTTTTATTTCTTCTTAAACAACTGTCAAATTCAGATAACTGTTAACAAAGAATGACTTTGTAAATCATGGTAAAAAGGGTAATTTTATGGATGTAAGTTAAAGGTTTATAACTATGAATATTTGAAGCTCATTTGCTCAGTACAATCGTAAACCGGGCTTCTTGTGGAAAAAGATTACGACTCAGCCCAATTCAGATAAAAATAATATTCGGGAAAGCGATCACTCTTTATTTAAAATATTGTATTCAAACTAAGAAAGTATACAATATATCAACTACTCTACCTATACAATTAAAAATATTAATAAAATATTAATAGCGATTGTAAAAAATTTCCAATTTCGGTTGAATTTGACGCGTAAACAACAGGAAGTAAAATTTTCTAGTTCACTTTAGTCTAAGATGACTTGATGACAAGCCATGATATAGCCGATGAGACGAACATTTTTTCATTGTCCCTGTTAATTATTGTTGGTCTTGGTAATGTGCGAGTCCGATAGTTGCGAGTTGCGAGTTGCGAGTTGCGGGTTGCGAGTTGCGAGTTGCGAGTTGCGGGTTGCGAGTTGCGAGTTGTTGAAAAAGTTTTACTTTCACGATAACTTCACACTTGTAATGATGATAAGAAGATATCTTGTACATAATTATCGTAAAGTCTTGAAAAAAAAAGATGGTGCCAGTACGAGAAAATGCGGATACTAGTRTTGCTTTGATTTAGAAGTAAAACTAGTCCGATAATTAGATATTTTCGAATAATGTTTTATAGCGCAATGATTTTCGTCTTCTTCAAGCCTATWMCTCGTTCTCCATTGTAAAAGAAAATCCTAACGAAAATCAAAAATCTAATTCACGTGAGCCGAAGCTCATGGACTGCTTCGATGATACTGCGGCCATCATGACAATGGG